TTGTTAGACTTCCAGACTGGACGCACCGGAAGACGCGATAGGGAGGCACTATGCTTGTCAGCCACTAAGAACCAGCAGCCAAGCCAGTCGAGTAGTAATGGGGGAGGCCACTTATCTGTTTGCGGTGCTTAGAGCTGGCGGTGACCTCCTCCTAATTTTTGTCTAACGGCGTAAATATTGAGCGAACGGAAATAATTTATTCGCGAAAAAATTATTTGAAAAAATGCTTCTCTCATCTATGCCTTAACCAAAATACTTATTTTCTTCTTGCAGTGTCGCTTTAAGCCATTGAGCCCTTAAGTGCGATGTCATGGGTCCAAACAATCCGTTGCTTGGGTAGTTGTTATGGACAAATACATGTGGCTAGGTGACCAGCTCCCATAGTTCTGTGCATCAGAGCCGAGGTGGACACTTCGTGTCCACCACGGCTGCGATAATTTGTCATTTCATGAAATGGACTGACAAATTATCTTTCAAACACTAGAAAGCGTAGCCATATTCAGAACGTTTCTCGCCGATTTCCACGTGACCAGGTGATATTCCGACCCATACAAGAAAAGTGCAATTAATTTGCGAGTAACCTAAAAAGTAAAAAGTAAATAAAGGTTATTTGGAAAAGCTCTTAAGTTACAATATTAATTACGCTCTTGCATAATTACCTGGATGATGCCATTTTGCTCCCAAAAAGTCTTTGAGACGGGGTAATTTGCTTTGTGTTTGGCAATTGAGAAAGAGAACCGTTTAGCGTCGCAAATTCAAAATAAATACTTTGTTGTTAACTTTTGACGAGGCAAATTATTTTGTCTGTCGTTTAATGAATCCTAATAAACCAAAAGCTATAGACACCTATTTTAACATGCCTATGCTGCAGAATCATTCGATCAAGATGGCGAGGCAGCAACTTGGTGCACAATACAACAGGTACAATAACAAAGACGAAGAAGGTGTAGACGGGTCATGCACCAGACTTAAGCTGATTATTTATTCAGTTTTTATAATGATAATCCTTCATTAAATATTTATTCGTAGTCCAGCGCTTTTCTTGTCAACACCTTCTTCGTCATTGTAATATCTGCGCTGTTTCTAGTTGTACCTTTCGAGCAAGTGATTATATAGTAAACCAACAGAACACTTGTATTTTAATAGTTTTAGAGCGCAGCTCTTAGGCGCCCGTTTTCGGCTTCAGCGGCGTCGCCGTCGCCGTAACCACGCGGCGCATTATGGGTAAATTTCCCCGCTATATTTATCGAGAAAAATTTCCCCGCGAAATCCAGCGGAAAATTTTCCCCGCTAAATCAAGCAGAAAAATTTCCCCACTAAATATAGCGGAAAAACTTCCCCGCTAAATCTAGCGGAAAAATTTTCCCGCTAAATCTACCGGAAACATTTCTCTGGGAGACATGTTACCTGGACGGTCACGACGTGACACCCCCCAGGTCACGTGACCCCCCTCCCCGAGGTCACATGGAGGGGGGTCACGTGACCCCCACGTGGACCCCCTCCCCCGAGGTCACGTGACTTCGGGGGGGAGGGTCACGTGACCCCTTTTCCAGGTCACGTGACCCCCGATGTCACGTGACCCCCCCGAGAGAACACCTGACCCTCTGTACCCTTCCCTGCTCCTCCTCAAAAGCTGCGCTCTAATTCGGCGTTACAGGGAGTTGTAATTAGGGATGCCGCGAACTTTTTTCGAATCGAAGTTTCGATGATCGAATCAAGCGGTTCGAAAGGTTCGAAAGATTTCGATTTTTCGAATTGTTTATATCGTAAAATTCGACGGAGGTCGAATTTTCGAACTTGTTAAGCTAAGAAGTTCGACGCTTTTCGAACCGTCGAACTTATTACGCCAAAAAATTCGATCTTTTTCGAACTTTCGAATTTATTGCGCTGCAAGGTTCGATGCTTGTCGAACTTTCGAACTTGACTGACCAAAAAATTCGATGAATTTCGAAATTTCGAACTTATTTATCAAGATGATTCGAAAAGTTTCGAACTTTCGAATTCTGAAAAGTAAGAAGTTCGACGAACTTCGAACTTTTAGGGTAAAAGTTCGACGTTCATCGAACTTCGAAAGTCCGGCGGACGGTTTCATTTGATTTCAAGTAGTGGGGTACATTCGTAATTTTTTTTTCTCGAACTTTTACGCGCGGTGCTGCGTTCCTTACGAAAGACAATGTCATTTATTTCAATGTTCTGGCATGCTTAGGTTTAAAGAAATAAATCCCCGAAGGGGCGAGAACAGACGACGGGTTTTTGACGATTATCGTTTGTGCCTGATTTGAAGCACGCTGCAGCCGGAGCTATTTATGGTAGATATGTTACACTTTTTTAAGAATGATTTATGTATAGCCTAGGTAAGTGCCGTCCTAAGATGGGATTATTGTTATTCAACGTGAGTTTCGAAGAAATGTCCAAACATGTATCTGCATGCAATTATGACCTAAACTTGATATTTATTTTCGTCTAAGTTGTTTGAGGTATCGCATTTAAATTAACACCACAGAGAGTACATATCATTGCCATCTGCAGAATACAAAATAATGTATTTATTGTTTTTTCACGTTAAGGAATAAATTAACTCATGGCAGAAGATTTCTAGTAGTGTTCAAGTTCAGCACGTCATTAAAAAAAAACATTTTTTTTTTCGCTTCACGTTTTTGGGACGTGTTTCTTTTAGCCTGTACACATTTTGATAAAAGAAACTTGTTTCGAAGTTCTGAACCTCTGAATATGCAAGAATAGAACACTTCCGACGAATTCTTGATAGTTTTTTTTTCTCCTGCTTTTTATTCCCGCATTTATTCTTTTTTTTTTTTTTTGTTACTATCGGCACAGGTGTTTAGGTCGAAAAGACAGCTTTGAACTTCCGAATCACTAAGCATGTGACGAGCAGTGCCTTCTGACAACGAGTTTCTAACAATGACCATCTACGCAACCTTTTATGCAGTGAAGAGCGACAGTAGCTATACATATGCATAAATAATTTCAGATTAAAATAAACACCGGATCGGGGTTTTTCTGAGCCTCAACCTCCTGCTCGCCACTGGCCGTTTCGAACTGGATGAGTCTCGTAAAACAGTGTGTTCGTGCAATCACTACTGCGTGATAAAGACCCCCCCGGGGCTGGCGGTCACAATTCTGCACTGGCAAATATTCTAGCACGTCCGGGACACTCGTCGTCTCATTTAATTGCCTGACCCAACTTCGCAGAATCTAGATATCACACTCTAACTTTTCTAAACTTGATTTTGTGAAAACCAGTGAGTCGTGAAAACGTTATTTGAAACTGAAACTGTAGAAAAACTTGAAAATCGGACTTCGAACTTTGAAAACTTGGATTAGAAAAAATTCAAAATCTTCGAAGTTTTTTTGTTTTTTTTTTAAATTTAGCGTTAAAAGAGAATCGAAACCTTCGAACTTTTCGAACTTTATGCAGAAAGAAATTCGAAATCTTCGAATTGGTCGAACTTCATGTCTATAAAAATTCGAAGCGTTCGAAGTTTTCGAAATTTTTTTAAAAAGAATTTCGAGATCTTCGAATTTATCGAACCTGAAGGAAAAAAAATTCGAAATATTCGAATTCGAAATTTTAGAAACCGTGAAAGCTTCGAAATTTTCGAATTCGAAACTCCGCTGTGGACAAAAGTTGCGAATTTTTCGAAATCGAACCTCGGTCGGTACGAAAATATCGAAATTTTTCGAAATTGAACCTCACTTCGCTTCGCAAATATCGAAATCTTTCGAAATCGAACCTAGGGTGGTTCGCGACATCCCTAGTTGTAATTGGCTTTCACTTGTTTATTCCAACTCATTAGGGATTCTGTTGCAGAATGTCTTCTGACTCTTCTAGTCGACATTTTCACATTTATACTAGCGCACATGATATTAAAAACGATGTGAACTGATGCTTTTGTATTTCTCGGGAGGATTTGATTTTCTGAACCACGACTTGTTATTTTATAAACTTAGCTCACATTTACTTGACAGCAGAAGGTTTGGCTTAGCCAAGTGACTATGTAAGGAAACTAAACCATGTTTTGAAATAAAATGGGAAACGTTTGATTATTTAAGTGTCACTTCTTGTGTTTCCGGAGTTCTACTCTGAGTTTTTTGCTCTTTTTGTTTATAAAGACACTATGATTAATACTTCAATTTTAGATATGGCACTAGTCTTAAATAACAGATTTAAATGTGAATTACATATCCAATATATTAATATTTTTGCATATCTATATAGAAATTATTTCTGTATTTTGTGAAGAGTGACAAATGAACTTTAGTTCATTTATCACAGTTTTAAATTTTGAAAATCCAGAAAACTTACTATTGGCACGAAAAGTTTAATGTTCTTTGTTTAGGTGATCAGTCTCAAGACTCTTGATATGTCTAATTCCATATAAAACATTTTCCAACACATCAAGCCTATCAGTAGAATCCCAATCCATTGAGCCTACTACGACTGATTTACAAAATATCAGATTTCCCCGGTATTGATGTTGATTCTAGCGCCCCATTTTAAGGTTTAGAAAAAAGTGCAGCTGACCCCTGGTGGGCAGCTGTGTCGTATTTTCTCTTTTTGTGGAACCTGCTGCAGTCAAAATGTCGAAACTGTCTGCGTATATTTTATGCTTTCTCATCGCGAAAGGAGTAGTCTTGTTGCCTTTGATATTGTCTAGCTCGTTCTGTTTTGATGTTTAATACGTTTGCGTGTATTTGTGTCGGACAAATTAGAGATTTTGTTCTATGCCACTTTGAACTTTGAACTTGAAGATGCTTGAAATGTTCAGGTTTGTGTTGATTGCATACTTCTTTGGATGTGCTACTGAATTGAGATAGGTAGCTTTATAATTAATTTAGTAAGTTTTTGTAATGATCCTTTCTTCGTCAATATGTTTGCGCTCGTGCTCTTAACGGGCCAGAGGTGCAATCGCGCGTAATCCCCCTTTCTCTGCTACCTCCGCGCATGACATCCGCGAAGCAAAAAAGCAGAACAAAAAGCGTAAACAAAACTTTGTACTTTTAATATATCTTCCAAACATTAAATACGCACCAATTGTCTAGAATGCACACAACACATATTTAGACTGCGAGTTCCCCTAAAGTGTTGTAAGCACGAATGTTTTGCGGTAATGAGACTTATACAGTGATAACAAAACATTATCTAGGGTAAAATGTTCAGATACGATCATTTATAAAGTGATTGGTATATCAGCAAAAGCGTGCAATACAAGCAAAGTCACGCACTGTTTTTTTCTAAATCTTAAGTCTTTCTTTTTTTTATATAAAGAAATAAATAGGTGGCCTAAGAATATATTTGTGTTAGAAAGACGAGGCTTTCTATACAGCCGTTGTGTTTGGTGGTTACTGCCTTTCGATTTTGCAGATGTCTGACGGAAACTGCGCTTTTTTAGTAATTTTAAAGATGATGTTTGTTATACTCGAGCTGTTTAAAATAAAAAAAAAAAGTCGTTTCATGCTAGTCGATTGTGATTCATATTGAGATTTCCAGTTTTGTTTTATTAATCGTCTTTGCGGATAGGCCTAACCTCTCATTAATGTTTCATTGGGTTGCAGGTTTCTTTCAAAATTAATTACTTTACACTAAGTTTTGTCGGCAGTGTGCCATTCTCCTCCATCATTACCCTAACTGTCAGTCGCAACCTATTCCCGATATTATAGTGAGTCACAAGCCGAATATCATTATATTTATCAATAACCGACAAATGCTGCTGTTTCTTAAGAAGAACATTTTCAGCCATATGTCTCAGAAATACGTCACTCCTGCACCGCTAGAGTTAGTTGCAGTTATTGCGCTTCAAAGAGTCTCAGTATGGAATGAAGGGGATGATTCTGAAAGTGAGGGTTTCTAGTAGACGACGGTTCCGACAGGGCGGTGCACGAAGTGTCCACCTCGGCTCTGGTGCACGGAACTGTGGGAGCCGGTCACCACTGGAGCGTGGTGCACCTCGGCCTGGTGGTAGGTGCTGCGGATACAAAATACATTTATTATGTTAGTCTCAATACAAACTCAGTCATCGATGAGAACAGCAGTCTGATGTCATGAGCTATAATGTCGAACATGCGAAGCTACGTAAGTTTCAAGTTATAAAAAGACAATTGTATTTGAATGAAATTATTAGATAAAGTTTTCGTAACCAGAAATTAACCATTCTTTTTTTCTTTTTATTTTTTTTTTTTTTTGTACCAGCCTCTTAGATCCAAACGTGAGCACAGCGTTCCAGAGGACGCCGCTTCAGATAACGCAGGTTTAAAAGAGCGCGTTGCTATACTAGCGCTGCTCATTAAGTTTGTAAGACGTCGAGATTGCGGTGTTCATAAATTAATGTTGTAAGCAATACTGTGATATTGACACGCGTCGTGTTGTTTTAATTCCGGCGGCTTAGGATTATCGATCCCACTTTACGCGCAAAGCACAAGCGCACTCATTTTGTTGGCGCTGTTATCAAGGTGCCGCTCGTGGTCTTCTCTGAAAGTTCGACTTCTTGTTGAAAAGTAGGAGCCGGGAGTTAATCGGTCGTTCCTCTCGTCGCCGACCGTCGTCCACGCTCACCTGCCTTGCTGCTGCCGTTTTCCTCGTGTAATTTTCGTAGGGCACAGGTTCTCCCAAATAAAACCACCCTTAAACTGTGTTCCTGCAAGTTGTTTCTGTGGCTTCCTCACGTCACAATTCAACAAACAAAAACATATGGTGCGAGGTATTGAAGTTGCTTGGAAATTGGAGTATACTTTCAACCGCCTTAACGAGTAATCGCAAAATCACTAATTCCCAAACAGTCCTTGACTTCTAAGGTAGCGACGAGAACTCACCCGAAGAAGGGATCATGCTTGGTGATGGTGGTCTTGGGTTGGACGACCTTCTTTTGGCTGATGGTGTATCCGTGGGCGTGTGGTGGCACGTAGGCCACCTCGCTGTGGTGCTCCACAACCGGCTGACGCACTACGGTGGTGGCCACGGGGACATGGATGGCGGCGGCGTGGTAAACGTCTGGGGCCACGTAGCCGGCCTGGCAGCAGGTGGCCAGCATGACCAGACAGGGCACGAGGGCGGCCTTTAAGGGCATGGTCAATGTGGTTTTAGTTTCAATAGTTTAGGTGTAAATGCGAGGACACCATGTTTGACCGGACTGCTCGGCAAGTATGCGAAAACCCCCTTTTTCCTTGTTGTCTGCCATGAAGAAAACATGTTCTGGTGCGGAATGAACGCTACGGAAGTGTTGTGAAAGCCTACATTAAACATGTCGTCGGCAGAAACAAACTCCGCAATGGACGACAGTAAATATCAGCTCTTAAAAAAAAAAGATTCGACAAAATACAAGTCAGTGTTTTACACGAGAAGCATCCAGCCCATAAATATTTAAGAACCCTTGCTTTAAAAAGTCTATCGGGACTTCTAGAGGAAACTATTGGATGGTTAAAAAGAGGAGCATGGCTTGGATTGAAAAAAAAAAACTATACTCTCTAAATAACAGGTAGATAATTGTCGTATGATTCTTCTTGGTTCACGACTTTGAAGATACGATCGGTTAAGAATATTTACTCAAATAGTTAAGATTAAAATCAACCGGGGCCCTGTAACTTATCTCGTAATCTCGGCTTTAAACTTTTTGGGTATCTACGCCTTTTTAACAAATCATTTAAACAATTTTTCGTCATCCATTTATTTTATTTTTATGCATTAAATGAGGTGTCAATTAACGGCTCTTTTAAATCCATAAAATTGCAACGCGCACAAAGTGTACTCACGAAGGTGTTCATGTTGTATAGGGACGGGGATGCTTCGAGTTACCTGCTCGTTTGAAGACTGTGTTGACAGGGATATCACAGACGCCTTTTTATGGGCGGCTACGAGGAAATATTTAAAGGTGTCGTAAACACGTTTGCTCGACAAGTGCTGTCTGCCCCACCCAAAATATTTTGGCAACATCGTCGAGACTACTCCGTGCGTTATCTGCCTTGACAGCGGTCAGCGTCCTTAGTGAGGTTTACCGGCAACGTCGAGATTCGCGCATTGACGGCATCTCATCAGCGAGCTGCGCATTTGATATGCTACGTGTTGGACGACTGAATTCCAAAGTAGGTTCTCCTTGAAACGTATACACACTGCCTTTCGACACTTTTTTTTTTTATTTGAGAATGCAGTTTTGATTCAGTGGGGTATACCTGATAGCTAACTTGCGCATAACATTGCAGCGTTTAATAGCTTCTACTAATCAAATGTGGGCCTCGTGTGTAGTTTTCGGAGCTTGTTCTAGACGCTCTGTGGCAGACAACGGCGCTAACACCGATGATCATCCTTCTGGCACTTTTGTTGTTTGTTTTAAATTTTCACTCGATAGGGACTCTATTATCCTAGGAAACAAACATGTGCGTCTACTATAGTGGGGAAAGCCGACATGTCCTCAAGAAACAGGTCCTCTTTAGCTGATAAATATATACTGTTACTCTTATTTAAAAGTTACGATTGCTCTACCACTTCTGTTGATGAGTACTACTGCCTTTTGGTTACTTAGTTTTAAAACTTGAAATATTCATACAAAAAACCCGTTTAATTAACATTAGTTTTTTTTGTATTTGCTCTACACCTTTCCGGGTATTTTTTGCCAATACCGCACAGTAAAATCTATTGGACACGTCAGATGGCAATGAACTACGAGAGTAATAATTTTTATGCACAGTGCCTGTTTTAGACATTTTTGTTGTGTGTGCCTCATGGAAAGGAAATAGTATACATGAGTTTAAAGGGACCATACGCTCTCTTGATAAAACATGTCATGAGCGTCTTGGCCTTATTTTAAACTTATAATTTGGTGTGGCGTACCTCATCTCTGTCAAATGCTAAGAAATTACACCTTATTGAAAAAAATATTGTTCGCGCAATACTCAATGTTCCTTTCAATACACATACACCTCCATTATTTAAAGAACTATACCGAGTAACTGTCCCTAGCCTATATGACTATACTCTACTAACACGATATAGATCAGCCCTCTGTTCTAACGAGCCTTTCCTTGAACATATTTCAAACCTAACACAAAATATCCGGGTATATGACTTTGGTGAGGGAAAATAGCAACAAACCGTACAAATTACAGGTTCCGAAATGCTAAGGTGTAATCTTGCTAAGGTGCTAAGCTAAGATATAATATCCGGGTATATGACTTTCGTATGGAAAATATCAACAAATCGTACAAATTACAGGTTCCAAAATGCTAAGGTAAAATCTTCCCTTTGTTCTAAATAAACTTCAGGAGTATAATTGGACAAGTATTGAGAGACTGAATCTTAGTAGAATTAGACAATTTTTTGCATTAAAATTTCGCTTGTATTGTGGGGTCGTGTGTTCTGTATCTTTGAGTTATCGTTGAGGAAGTACAATTATTATCGTTAGTCCTGTCATGTACCTCTTCATGTACCTCTATATGTTATGTATATATATATATATATATATATATATACCTTGCTATCTTTGATAGTGTGATTAACTGACGCTGTTCTTGCACTTTTTGATTTTTTTTGTCGCTTAATGTTAAAAGCTGAAATATAATTATTAATACTTGATGTGTAGTATGTCGCCGTGTGCCAACTGTAAGGATGCGGGGGCCTTGTCAAATCAAGCTTTTGACATTTTGCCCCTGGAGCCTACATCAGCTTCGGATGTGAAATAAACGACTGATTGATTGATTGATTGATTGATTAATTGATTGATTAATTGATTGATTGACTGATTGAATGAGAACATGACACAAACGAACACATTTTTTCAAAGAATGTGCCCGTCTGTGCCTTGTCTTCTTTCAGTTTTTTTTGTGCTAAATGTATACGTGTGTTCGCGCTTGCTTGGGCACAGCGTGTGCTCTTAAACCTTTTCGTCTTTCAGGATATGATAAAGTTGCATGGCCCGTACTTTGCAGCAAGATTGATTAAGGTTTAAATTAGACTTCTATAAAATGACATTTTTGTTTTCGATATGTTAATAATTATATGCAGTGTTGAAATTACTATCTTTTTTTCTTATAGCGTGGGGGGGGGGGGGGGTGGAGATGCTGCGAGAAGTTAATAATATGAATGGGCTAAAGAGACACTGTAAAGACAAATAAGTTTTGTTTTTGAAACGCATAAATGGGGACATGTATTATTTGAATAATGTTTCCACGAAAGTGTTTTTTTCTCGCGCAGTCGTTTCGTTCTTAGACGAAACTTAGGTGGAAGTCGCATCCCGCTCTAAGCCCCGTCCACGGATCAGTGGCCCCGCACATTCCTACTGGACAGGCTTGGCTGCTCGGCCGAAATGGATAATAAGCCTAGTGTTTCCCTTTCGCGTCCTCTGGTGAGTCAAGTCTGGAAGACTAACACCGTGCTCTAGTCGTGCGACCAGACGAGCGGCAGCCTCCGGCATCGTCTGCTGTTTCACCACTTTCTGTCGTCGTCTGCATCGCCGTGTGACGCGGACAGGAAAGCTCCTTGTCGGCGTCCGTTTCCTCCTCCGTCTGTCTGCTATTCAACCCCCGTCGAGACACTTCTGCAAACCTCAGAAGAATCAACCATGAAAGCGGCGTTCTGGAGTTCCATCCTGCACGAGGAACCGTCGAATACAAGCTTCTTTCAGTGACTGTCGACGTGCGTCATAAACGACCGAGAGTACTAAAGATATAAACAAAATGAATATACAGTACTTCTAGCTTTATTGTTGTTGTTGCTGTTTCTAACATGGCATACGCGAGCAAGGTGATTAAACATCATAAGGTACAATTAAAACGCGACGTAAAAATGTTAGCTTCTGTAGGCCAGGAGCAGTGCAAAACTTGAAAGCTTGCCTTTTGAGACGCAATGACGGAAGGATGCCTGGACTAACTTTATACGACCCGAATGCCCGATCGCCTCCAACCAAATGGCTCGCAAACTCTTACTGGTGTAGGTATCTTCTAGGTAATGGAACCGTGGTCCCAATCACGACGGTTCACAATTAAAAAAAACAGAGGGGCCGCTTTTACGGGAACCAACATCTTCATTCCGCATTAACAGGCGGAAAAAGAAAAAAAGTCAAGCCAGATCGATTGATGCAATTGATCTGAGGCGCAGGCTTGGGCTAGTGCCGCTACGAGAGCAAGCATCTACTGAGCGCTTTAAAAGGCGCTTACTTGCGGCAGCTGTCTGCCGCAAGCTACGTCCCGGTTGATATCTTCCTCTAAACACCTCTGTAAACTCAAAAACACACACTCTCATAAATTAGCGAGCTCAACGATTTTTGCTTGTTCAGCACTCCGCAAACGCCGGCAGCCATGTTTGGTAACATTTGGAAGAAAATCGGGAGACGCAATCTTAGGATACATTTGAAAACAATAACGAACGACTCGGTGTCTATTCTTTGCGTCTTAAACATATAATAGAACTAGTAGAATAAAATACTATTACGGCGCGGAGATGCATATTTACAGCCACCTATCATGCTTCAATCATCTCTCCAGCCTCTGAGCGATGTAAGCACCCTGTAAGCACGGGGTGGTGCTCAGCGGGCTGCGACCTCCACCTTCTTCACCTAACTTGCGTTTAACGGCTCAAATATTGCTCAAAATGTTTTTCTTTTTTTTTTTTTCGTGGATTTTTTTTTTATAAATAACGCGTACACTCATTAAATTTTTTTTCTCCCAGTGTGCTTTTTTATGTTTTGATTCCTTTTGTTTCGGTGCATTTATAACACAGATAGAAAATGCCGTAGAGACAAGGCAGTGTAGTGCAGGCTTTGGAACACCTTACTGGTGAAACGAAAAAAGGCGTCCCAGCGCCACCAATATTTTATCTTTCGGGAGCTTCGTAAAAATACTTAAATTTAAAAATATATTTTTCTTTAGAGACATTATAAGATGGTGAAAATTCCCGTGATCCTGATAAATTAGTCTATATCCTCTGGAAGGGAAAAAAACACGGAATAAAAAGAATTATGCATCATAGCCTTGTCGACTTCGCCGGATGTCAGTGAACGAGTAGCAACAAACTATTAGTAGCTTAATTAACGAAAATTCACTAAAGACTCTTTTAACTGGCAGATTTGATTATTGGGCTTCCATCGTCTTATTCATATTTATTTACAGGCGCTTTCGCATTGAGGAAAAAGTTAGAAAACTCCCTCCACAGATTCGAGGGAAACAAGTTTTCGTCGACCCTGTCACAATGAGGCAAGAGCAAATGTTGGGAGGTGGGCCAGATGGGTTTGAGGGGGGGGGGGGGGGGGCAGTCGTGGTGGGGTGGGTTAACGTACACCAGCTCGGAGCACGGGGAGCGAATGCTCGTGTTGCGAAACCCAGGGATCTTGGGTTCAATGACCACCTGTGCCCGTTTCAATCTGGATGAGCATCGTACCGGCGTGTGGTCGTGTAATACTAGTCCGCCGTTCACTTTAAAGACACCAAATTAGCGGTAGTACTGCAATGACTAAATTGCTAATGTGCATCTGGCACACAAGACGACCATAGGGGCTGATGAGCTTCCGCTCCATAAACACGCGCACAAGTGCTAGTATTAACAGTCGCGGTTTCTTTTCTTTTTTTTTTTTTGTCGAGCGGCATTTGTGTTTGCCGATTTGCTGTCCGACAGCCGAATAACACCTTGCCACACCGTGCTGGCGGTGGGAACAGCACAGTGAAGACTCCCAAGATTTTGATTTTTAACCTTCGTTCTTTTGCAGCGCAGCATCGCTGAAAACGTACCTCTACAAAATAGGGTACTTCGTTTCACTTTATGTGAAGACCCAGCCAAAGCTATAAGGTGATAATCGCCATCAGGCACCATCAAAATCGAA